GTTTACAAAAATATCAGCATTTTGTATTCGAAGCAGCCAAACCTGGTATTGTCAAAGCTCAGCTGGTTGCTAATGGTTCGTATACTGAATTTAATTTGTTAAAAACTAGAAAGGCAAGTGTTTCCAAAATTACCAAGGAAATTAAATCTTTTTCTATTTTAGTCCTAACCCCTTCCTTTGGATTACAAAAGGCAAGAATATCTTTATCATCATATTCGCCCATTTGTTAGAGATGAATTCAAAGACATTACTTGCCCAAGCCCAACCTATACCGGCAACGAATAAAATATTCAGACTAAAATTCATTAATTTCCTCACCACATTAAATTCTCTATCTAATATTCCCACTTTACAACTTTTAAAGTTTAAATAAAAGGAATATTAAAATAATTATATACTTAATTTAGCCTTATAAGTATATTAAAAATAAATAAATAAATAATCATGGTAAATATTATAGAAAAACAACAGCAAGAAAATAAAGAATTATTAAACGAAATAGAAATATTAAAACAACAATTAGCAGATAAAAATAGAGAACTCAATGATTATAAAAATACAGAAGTAAGTGAGCAAGAAGAAGCAGAATTTAAACAAAAAGCAACTGAAAGAATTCACCAAATGTTGGTAGAGATGAGGAACAGGTTTCCTCACTGTAGCAAAAACATTGAACAAGATTTAAGAGAATTAATTAGCAAACCATTAAGAAAACAATTTATGAATATTTGTTTTCAACACAGTCTTATGCATGACTATAATTGGAAAGAAAAGGAGAATTTGGAAGAAGTTGTAGAGAAAATTGTAATAGACCAATTTGAAAGCACTGAGTTAGCTACTGACTTGTTAAAAAATTGAAAGAAATGAAATAAAAGAAGGAGGTGAAATCTTTGGTAGACCAACTAAGGATATAATTCTTAAAGATATTATTGGAGGTAAGGATGAAAGAATTAAAGAGTTGGAAGTGAAGGTAGAAGAATTAGAAGAAAAAGTAGAAGGTTTGGAAGATAATTTAGAAATGGAATGTGAAGAAGCTGAGAAAGCATTGAATGCAGCCATGAAGTGGAGAGAATGCCAAATAAAAGTAGTAAGATCAATCTATGTTTCGAGAGAGAAGTGATTTTTGAAAAGAATAGAAGTTTTAGAAAATAACATTAATTGAATTGCCAGCCCTGCCTAAAAAGCAAAGCAGATTATTAAAACTTAAACAATTAGTAAACAGAGTTAAAGAAAAAGTAAGGAGAAGTTCCAAACTTACATTATTCAAAAAATAAATAAATTAGTATGAGTTTAGAATATAGAATTTTGGAATTAATAAAAGAGGATGAGCAAGAATGCAATTATTGCTTTATAGACTATAGTGACCAAACCAACCTTGATTTTAGCACTGCTTCTGCTGCCTATCAGATGGTAGCACACACCACAACGGAACAATACTTTGATATATCCTTTATTTGTAAAGACTGTAAAATTGAATATGATAATGGTACTCTCCCAAGATGTAAGGAGTGTGATAGATTAATGAGAAACAAGAGTTTTTGTTATTTAATTTCTTGATCTTTCAGTTCTCATTTAGAAAAGAGAACTAAATTTCATAAAAAGTCAAAGGAGTGAGGTGATGAGAAAATAAAGATAATTAAAGAATTAGAAGCTGAAGTCACTAAGTTAAAGGAGAAGAAAACAGCACTTAAAAGAGCAACTGAATGGTCAAATTGCTCAAATTGAAGTTAAAGAAACTAAGAAATGGCCTTGATTGAAATTAAGAAAGTAATTTAAATTTCATAGGTTATTTTTTCTTTATCTAGATATTCCTGGAGTGTTTGGGTGTCATTGATTTTAAAAACATAAGGCGCAATTTTCTCTCCTTGAGCTTTCTTTAGAATGTTTCTAATGGTGCTGTAATTCTTTGGTTCCATGGTGGATTTAATGTAAATCAGTTTCATATTAATATTTTTTATATAGAGATAATCCTATATTAATCATGTTATGGTTTATATTTATCACATTCTGGTATGATAAAGTGAACATTAAAATTAAGTTATGAATGCACCATTATTACTTTCAAGACATTATCAGTCACCCTGTCAATTTTACAGCCACATCATAATCAGCCTCTTATTTATGTCACATAATAGAATGTCTGGTTTTGTTGTAGCATGCCCTGTATCATAAGCTGTTTCCAAGTTGTATACCATGGTTTTCCTGATGGTTCAATGTGAAAGGCTTCTTTAAAATACTTCCAGGATCTCTCTATGTCAAATTGAAATCACCAAGAGAAAGTTCAACTCCTGTAAATAATTTAATTCCAACTTTAGCTAATCCAGGAACAGCAACAAGTAAACCTTTTAATGCTGCAATGGCTCAACCAACATTTGTCTTATACTGGTTTTCCTCATTACAAGCAGTATTTAATGTATTCTTAATGAGTTTAAGAAGGTATCTACTATTGTAATTGCATTTAAAACTTTTGATAGTTTTATCTGATTCATTAGATCCTGCATGCTTAGGTTTCCAAGTTTCTCCACATACTGAATGTGCATTCTTGTACTTATAAGTGGCTTGCCTAATATTATCAAGAAAAAAACCTGTAAACTGACACTCATTCTGATGCATTTGCTCTAGTATAGTTATAATAATTCGTAATTGCCATTCCAATTTAATAGCTGTTTCCCCTGAAAACACATCATCAAGCTCTTGAGAACATAGACTTTTCAAAGTTGTATTTAACACCTCTATTGACACAAATTCTCCTTTATGTTTGAGAACGTATTTGAGTGCATAGATATTCTCAGAATATTTCAAGTCAGTTAACAATCCCTTTATTTGTGTATCTGCTGACATAAGCCCTTGTTCCATTAATTGAAGTATAACTTTAGGAAAACTGCCTTGAGCTACAATGTTGCTCAGTGTTGAAGTAGATGTCATTGAAAAATTGCTAGTACTAGGGGCACTTGTTGTGAGAAAGCTGTCTAATACATAGCTGGTTGTTGAGCTTTCAGTTTCCTATAAAGTAACATGCAATGGTTAACAAATAAGCAAATGAAGTATTTTAGCATATGTTTGTTTTCCTATACCTTATATGCCATTGTGCAGAGCGGTCACTTTGTCACTTCACTAGTGCTTGATGGTCAAACAACATATCTCCGACGATTCTTCCCTATTGGCTTGAAATTCACTGTGCTATGTTATTGCATGGTGTGACATACGTGGTGTGTGTACTGTTTACAGTCTTTATTTGTGATAGAAATGTGCAATTGGAAAAGCTGTATAATAAGTCTGTTATTGTTGTCGTCCTTATTGTTATGCTCACAGTCTGCTCTCAAGATTGTCGTACTTACTCCTGCGTCTATCTAGTTACACAGTTGCACTTTGCAAATTCTCTTAAGAATTTTCTTTTAACGAAACATGAAACCAGCAAGTCGACGGAGATACAGTACATTATAGGAATAGATGTAGCGGTTCTATGGGTCGGATTTAACAATTTTAACATGATTCCCAGCATTCTCCTCTCTGCTTGTTATTCATATGCATTTCTTGCTATTGAATTAGAATATATTCTCCAAGATAACAAGATAACACGCCTTCCCTTTGCAATTAAACTTGATAAGTATCATCTGCATAATCGGACTGACAGTTAATATTAATACACAAATGATATTAATATCGATTCGCAAAACTTTTCTCCCACGCATTGTTAAGTATAGTCACGCACATGTAAGATAACAACCCAGCACGCTTCGAGTGGTTAGAGTTGCTTTATCGATGCTGTAGACTAATTGGAATCATAAATGTGTCAATGCTGTTAAGCCCCGGTACAATTTAAATTTACTTCTTTTCTGCGGTTGAGGGTAACAATAAGAAAGTCTTCTTGGCGGAAACCGTTCTGGCTGTTTAACAAACTGGATACGAATAAGAAAATTACGACGGCTTAAGCGTGGTAAGTAAAAAGTATTTATTATTATCATATTAGCGAATATAATATTTAACTTTTGTTGTTACTACTTAGAAAATGTGGAATATAGTTAGAATATAGTTATACTGTATAATTCAATTGATATTTTTATGTTAATCAAATAAAGGATAGACCATGAGAATAAATTTCCGTCTTGTTATGGATTGATTAGAAATGCGACGTTTCCTTCATGTATTTGTTTTTCTACTTAATTCCTGAAACCATATCTTGCAACTAAGATAAGATATTCAGCATTCAATCTCAAAAAGCAAACGCAAATATCCCGTTTGCGTAATAAACAAAGCATCAGTTGGTATAAAATAATACTTTATTGGCAATTATGTTCAAACGATTCTGTAGGTTCACTCCACTTTATCGAGATTTGGGTTATATACTTACCAAAATACTCAACATGTAGAATTGTCATAAATTGAAATTTCATTCCGAATGCGGCAAAAATCTAGCATTAATATATAGTCGATAATAATCCCTGAATCTACCAAAAAAGGCCGTGAGTATTTAAAAAAGAGCAAGAAATATTAGAAGGCCCGGTCGACTAACGTACATATGCCTTATATGGTAAAAATTTCGTTGACTGCAAATACTTTATATATAGCAAAAAATATCAGCCTGGCCTGGTCGACCATAAGAAGTAATGTTTTATGAATGATCAAATAGAAACCCAAGCCATTTCAACCAACCAAGCCGACCATGTCAGCCACGCTGGCTAAGCCGAGGTTGATTAAGCCTTAAATGTATAAACTTTACTGTACTAAAGAGCAATCTATAACAAGGCTTAATTCGGTTTTATCCGTTGCCTTGACAGTGTCTATTTGTTTCTCCTTGGGGCTTATCAAAAGGTAGTCGTCTATCATTTTAAATTTTATTCTACGAGATGCTGATTTATTCACTAATAATACTTCGCCACAGACTAAACACTGTCCGCAGAAAAGCACAATTGTCATTCTAGAAGACGATCTACACGATTTACAGTTTTATATATTAATCAATATGTTACCTCATAAAGTAAGACCATACCTATTAGGGAAGGAGCCGCAGAACATATAGTGAAGCCTCCAACGCAATGCATCGAGACTATATGGTATCAGACACAACTTGCGTTTATGGAGAGTTTGCATTTATAGAGAGTGAAATCCTAGCCTTACAAACTCGGAACCGAAGCAGAGCTTGCAATTAGAGAGGGGTTCACTGCATGCAGCAGCAACAATATTAAAAAATGTAAGTGAAAGCTGCAGTGTTTGGACATAAAGAAAAGCATTGTTAAAACAAAGAGATATAAATATCTGTAACAGTTCTGGAGTGTGTATCACCATTGATGACCGATTTTGACCAGTAACGACCAAATTCGATACTATCACAGTACTTCTGTGTAGGTGTGTGTCACGCATTTATTCTCCAAATATTAATATGATCGTAACGTTATATAAACATGAATCTCCCAGTACTGACCGAAACATTACTTTGAACATTTCGAAAGTCCAACACAAAAAGTGAATAAACCCTTTTTTTATAATAAACAATGATGTCAATAAAGAGAGTGATTGATTCATCTTTCATTTTATTCGTCATTATCATTGCCCTACTCTTTGCATTAGCATCATCGTTGCCTGCCCCAGGTTTGCATCAAAGGCATATGTAAGTATGAGACAGATTCATCGATACACATCAATATAGCATTGCAAGTTGACGTAAATAATAACAACGATTCTTTCGACAATCTAATTAGTTCATCGTCCAAACGAGTATTTGTACCATCGTCCACATCGTCAACCACACCATCATCCACAGCACCAGCATTAGTATCTGCTTCTACAACCTCGGTTACTGATAATTCTACAACTCCGGCTACTGATAATCCCGCACCCGCAGCTACTGATAAACCTTCCGCTGCTCCTGATAATCCTTCAACTACTAGTAATCCTCCAACCCCGACTACTCCTGATAATCCTTCAACTTCCACTATTCCTAATAACCCCCCAACTCCTGCTACTCCTGATAATTCGCCAACTCCGGCTACTGATAAACCTCCAACTCCAGCTCCTCCTAAAAATACTCCAACACTAGTAACTCCGGCTACTCCCAACAATTCGCCAAACCCGGTTACTCCCAATACTCCCAATACTCCCAATACTCCCAATACTCCTACTGCGACACCACAAGGACCAACAGACTCAGGGCCATCAAAAGCACAACCTAAACCAGAAACACCAACGACAACACCATCATCGGCAGGAGCAGGAACTACACCGCCACCAACGATAGAAGTAACTACTCAAACTGTCGTATCTGTTATTCCCGAAACGACAACACAGCAAACGACCACTTTAGCTGATGGACAAGTGACAGTAACTCAGGTATACGTACCTCCAAGAACATCAACAGTTCTTACAGTCGTAACGGGAACAAAACCGGCTCCATCGTTTGTACCAAACAGCGAGGGTGCGAGAGTGAGGGTGCGAGGAGAAGTGTGGTTGACAGTGGTAATTGGATTCGTTCTATTTTTTGGTGCTGTGATGTAGGGCATAGCAATATCACACTTATTATTGAAAAGGGTTATTACATTTTGTGTTCGATCTTCGATCAAAGTAATTGTTTTAGACTTGGGAATTAAAAAAAAAAAATACAATTGATTTGTATATGTATATACACATTCTATCAGTCATGTGATATCATTTATTTGAAATAAATTAAATTCCGTGATTGATAATATTAATATTTCCTAAAATGACGTAATATACGCACTTCTCAAATGAGTGCACATCATAACTCTGAATATATTTTGTTATCTTGATAAATCTGTTACACCGCATTACGCCACCCTTCTTTTAGAATACAGGCAATTATCAAAAACGGTTTCTTAATTACATAGTCAATGAACTTTAAAGCATTGTTCCAGTTACACCATATGCTGTACTTCTGATACACTATAAATAATAATAAAGCTGCAGTAACCCAACAATCTGGAAGATCTACATAACAGTAACAAGCTTGGTTAGCGCATATTTAATGACACAACTACAATACTAAATAATAAATAGTATATTAATATCAACAACGCTAATACCAATAAATTTTCCGATGACCATATCTTCACTCCCACCTATTAACTCACTGGAAACGATGATGAGGATCGATTAATTGGAGAGTATAGTGGCAGTCAAGATAAGATTAGCGATCAAGTTTCAGAAGATAACTTTCGAATCAAGCATTTCAACCAACTTTTTTTTATGTAGCAAGCCTTTATTGATAATAATCTACAATTTACATTCAAAAAAAAAATCGAAAATACAAGAAAAACGAATAAAATTATCTTCAACTTCCAAGTAAATTGTGCTATATACTGAACAGTGGTTTCGGAAATCGTATTATTTACATGAGATTGCTTTTTCTGCTAATTCAGCATCCCGATTCCCACTTTTTATATTTTTATCAATTTGCACCAACCGACGAAAGAAAAGCTTGGACCCCAGATGTTGATGTAAGACTGGACGTCGGTAAAATCGGCCAACTTCAAATTCCAAACTGTCTGCTGAAACGCACTAGTGCCACCGTTCGCGACCGTGAATTGAGGTTGGAATTGGTACCACTTCCATGGGGTCCCTGCGTTGAAGATATACCAGTTATAGTCTGTCCATTTAGAATCGGGTTTGAACCCAGTATTAGCTTGACCAGTGATTACGACACTTTGATCCGTCATTCGTGAAAACGTAATACGTCCAGTTGGTGTTTGAGATCCTGATGGAATGTAATCACAGTATGCAACCAAATCGGCGCCTGCTAAAACCTGAGAAATTAGGCAGAAAATTGTAACCAAGAGGAAGATGATCTTTGATTTCGATGCCATTTTGCGTTTGGTGATATGATTTTGTTCGTTTGTTTGTTCGTTGGTTCGTTTGTTCGTTCGTTTGTTCGTTGGTTTGTTAAGACCTTTTGTCAATTGGACTTTGTGATGTGCCAATGGTGAGTTGAAGCAAGCGAAAGGAAGCGGCTATTTATAATTGAGAAAAGAACGATGGCAGTGGAGGCTTGAAGAATATCTGTCATCGTAAATGGTACTTTAATCAGAATGTCTTGCAAACAATAATGTAAGCCTTCCTACTGGCTGTGTGATGGCTTAGTGTTTCTGCTGTGCTTCGATAGAGAAATTTGTGCTCGTGGCTTGCCCGTGGCGATGATCAGGCTTTTTTTTCCTCTTAGAACATAACTAGCCACATAACTCAAATTTTGCGTAAATCTATTTTTAACTCTCTTCACTACTTATTACTGTGGGCTGTGTAATGAAACTTTTTACAATATCTCTAACGCACAACTGAGTAACTCCCTCTTGCGGTTTTATTGCGATTGGATGTAGATTAGATAACACCTACAACATGAATATCTATCGGAGAGCTTACATAAAGGAATTAACGTTTTCCTGTTCCCATTCTATTAAACATCTCCGTTCGCTCCGTTGTGGCTTACGTATTTGCGCAATTGTAGATCTGTTCCCTAAAATGCATGCAAAGCAGAGAGATCGCCGATTATCATGCACCTTTATAGGCTCAGCTCGTCATGACCTGTTAGGCTTCTTGTCTCCTTGAACAAAGATTCATATGATAAGAATTAATTTCCGCAAGAAACAGGAATAGCACAGCCCTTCTTGTCTTGTGGCGCCCATATTTTGATCAAAGTGACGTCGTCGCTAAAAATGATTGCACGAGCTATAGTTAAATAAGAATATCTCTCCTTCCCCCTTGCAGAGAACCTCGGGAGCAATAATATAAAAGTCAAGTTTGTGTTCACAAAGGATTTGAAGAACAAACATAATAATAATACTACAATCGTACTACAATCGTCACATTTAACTGCAAAACTTGGTTGTCAAAGATGGTTGTCAAATATCTTTTTTACCACAATCGATCACAAAAAACATATTCCATGGTCTATTTGCTACTCTTTTTCCTTGCTTGTCTCAACTTTTACACAGAAACACTCGCAGATGTCCCCTATGCCGTCGCATATTGCGATTTTCCTCCGTCTCCTTTCCGTGCCGTAGTTGGTCGTGTGACCTTTACCCAATATCAAGACGAAACGACTACAGTCACGGGACAATGTAACACCGGATTCAATGACAGCGATCCGTCGCATTATCGATGGACGATATCCTTGTACTACGACTTGACCCCCTTTGTAGATTATTCAGTTAATTCACCGGGAACAAGTGCATTTCAAGCTAGAGTGGATGATCTGCCGCTCACGGGTGAAGAAAGTGTTGTTGGAACAAGGATGAGGGTATTCCATAACGATGAGGTTATTGGAAGATGCGATATAACCCGAATTGGATGACGGAACGTGGCGGTTTAGTCTATAATTAGAATGCTAAACGGAAAATGTAATAGTAACCTGTATAGTTAACTTCTGTTTGCAGTTAAGATGTACATTCTCACGTGTAAATGTCAATATAATAAATTCTTTATCATTCACGGAGAGATAAGACCCGTTATAAGTTCGTGATCATATTGCCTTCTCAATTACCCCTTCATCAAAGTCCATATAACAACTCGTATTTCATCCAGTCATTCTAATCTCTCACTCATGTCCGAAGACTTGGTGAAAATACTCTTGAACGATATGAGCGAACTTTACGAATTATCCGAAGACTCGGATACGTTAATCATTGTAGGAGAGATCCCAAACGTAAGAGAGTTCAAGGCTCATTCTCTAATATTGAAAAGCAGATGTTCTTACTTTCATGCTGCCCTTTCAAGTACTTGGGCAAAGAAAGAAGGAGGTCAATTCACGTTCAAAAAGCCAAACATGAAGCCTGAAGTATTTGAAAAAATATTACGGTAGAAAATACTTTGCCTACAATATTGTATTCAATCGTTGCTCTTTCTAACGATTCATCCTTTTACAGGTACTTGTACACGGCTACTTTAGCATTGAACGACTATACGTGCCCTGACCTGATAGAACTTCTCCTCGCCTCAGACGAACTGGGAATTGTCTCGTTGATAAATTACCTACAAAATTACATGTTGACTCATCACGTAGCTTATATTCAACAAAATTTTATTCGATTTTATCACCTCACTTCTTCCCACCTATCGTTCAACAAGCTACGTGAATACTGCCAAAAGATAATTTTAAAGAAACCAGAGATCGCTTTTGATGCTCACGACTTTACAAATATAGAAGAATCGCTTCTCATATCGCTGCTAAAGAGAGATGATTTGGATATGGAGGAGCCTGACATATGGAGTAAAGTCATTGATTGGGTCACTACCAAGTATCCCGATTTGCCAGAGAATATCGCTGATTGGCCCCAGGCTGACGTTGAAGAAATTAAGAAGACGTTGAATGGCATTATTCCGTTAATCAGATTCGGCGAATTTCCTCTTCCAACCTTCTTTTACAAAGTCTGCCTATTTGATAAAATAATACCGCGTGGATATTATATAGAATTGCTAGAAAACCATTTTGTCCACGGACATAAGCCTCATATCAGGCCATCTCCACCCAGAATGAGAACGCAAATAAAGTCGGTTTTAATTAACAAAAAACAAGCAAACTGGATTCTCGCTCACATTCAGGAACTCCTCTCTGATGAAGCATTGTCTAACGATGATTTGTATACCATGACATTGCTTGGACGTGGATCGGAAGTGGGATTCACAGGTACCGCATTTCACGCCTTGGCTGACAATATGGGTCCTACCGTGGTTGTGATGAAAGTATCCAATTCAGATGAAATTATAGGTGGATATAATCCGCTGGCATGGCAGACAACGACCGACTGGTCGTGGCATAAAACGTCAAAGAGTTTCCTATTTTCATTCAAAGGAAAGACGTTGAATGAGGCCGCGTATAGTAAAGTAGTTGAGCCAGAAGAAGCTATACTTTATATCAGTGATAGGGGACCTATATTCGGAAAAGGGAGCGATTTGATTGTTGGCAAGCAAGCCAAGGATTTTAGAGACCCCAACAGTTGCTGTATTAAACTCGATAGCTATCAATGTGCTATTAGAGAAAATGGGTCTTTTGCGATTGAAGAATATGAGGTATTTAAAGTTATTGGAAAGGATCAAAATGATACTAGCGATTCAACTGTAACGAAAGAACAAGCTCAATGATATTCCAAATTGTATTATCAATGTACATTTTTTTATGGCTACGCAAGTTGATTATGTTTTTACTAAAGACACACATATAGCATGTATTAAGAGACAGAGAAATATCTTATCGGTAAGTTTTCATTTCAATGATTTTATGTATAACGAAATTTGTTGTAGATCGATTTTTAAAGCAATATTGGCTTTAAATATCAAGAATAATATCTAAGTTTTTCGTAAGCATTATATCTTTCCTTTTCAACAACAGATTGAAGAAAGCATATGCTTGTAGAATGTATAAGCAAAATTTGAGCGAGTATCATTAGCTGATTAACTAATTTATGATAAAATGAATAAATATATGTACTGTAGCAATACACATACCAGTTTTCGTGGAACCTTGCGTGTAACAAGTGGGAAATAGTTTAAGTAAATCGATTTATTGAATACAGATACTAAATGAGTAAACGGAACGGTAGTTGATTGTTAAGACAAGTAAAATTATATTGATAATGAATAATGATAGCAATGTTGTTGTATGTCAGATCGGAAGTATAGCATTCTACTTCAGTCTTGTCTTATCACTATGTCAAGTTCTTGATGAGCGTTTAGTTACACGCTACAAGCCATAATTTCAGACTCTATATTATTAAGAGTGTTCCGTATTGTCTGATCTATTAGAATTACTTTCATTATTTGAATATTTCGAATACAGCTTATAGATTATTTTCTGTTAACTGGATTCTCTACGCAATTTGCTATACAATAATCCAAAAGTTGTATAAATTTGTGAAACGTCAAGTTTAACGCACCGCCACATTTTATATTTTGTCGATCTCAACCTAAGGAACGTTTCGAACCGAATAACTTTGTAGAATATCTGGTTATATAATCTCATTCCACGATGACCAAACTTAGTACATTATAACTTATATTAATTGTGTCAGTTTTGAATGGACATGAATTCTGACCTGATGTGTGTTCGGATCTGACATATTATTTCAACATGGAACATCGCACAGAATGATACACAACGAATATACGTGTATTGTTAAAAAGGGTCTTTTGCGTATTTTCATAACCGTTGCTAAATTTGTCTAAAGAATAAAGTTGCCGAGAAAGTTTGGTAATAAGATCTTCAGCGATTCGAGCTCGGGCAACCAATGAAGTATTAGAAATTGCCACGTTTCGATTTCAGCGGTGTTAATAGAATAACAAATCGGGTGGAGTTTCCTAAATCAGAATTAGGTTGATATTTCCTTTCAATTACCTTTCAATACAGAAATAGAAAAATATTCCACATAGTTTTTTCCATTTATTTATCAAAAACGAATACGGAAAATAGAATTAATTTAAAATTTGTAATAATGACTACTACTTTTACACTTTAATGTAATTATTATTTCCTTTTTCCCATGAAGTATCCAGTGTTTGCAATAGTAACTTAATTGTGTGTTTATGATGGCTGTTGACTTGTTCATCATCGTACATTAAATAATTATTTTCAAACATAGAGATAATAAATGGACTTTGGCCAATTATTTTATGTTGTCATAAACCGATTAAACAGGCGTATTTATGAGAAATTCACTTAAATAGGCTACTTTAACATGTGGCAAAATATTTTTTGCCGCGCTCATCTTTTTACACTGCTGCGAAAATTTTAATTCATAACATCACAGTGGTGAATAATTCATACTCTACTTAGCATTGTACATTATTCTTTTACTCTGTCTCGATTTGTAATAGTGGTCTTTGCGTAGTATCAAATATATTATCTGCAACAGTAGAATCCCAAGTTAACTGAAGAAGAATGGGTTAGATGCACTACAAATTCATGCATCATTGGGTAATTTTGTTTGTTTTATTAAAATAGTCGTTCGTGTTGATCAAATATATACATTACACCTCGTTCACAATGAAGGATAGACTTATCAAAGCGGTCTAAGCTATAACACAGGGCAACGGTTCTTGTGGCCAAATAGGACATATAACCACGTCCCAAATGAGTGTATTACTGTAATATGGAGGTTAAAAAACATAACATGGTACCGATATTATTAATGTTATAATTTTGAGAACATGTATTTACGTAGATTATCCCATTCGTTTATCACAAACCTATAACAGAGAATATTTTGACAATTTATGAATTTTATTTTGGATGCTATAGTCAAACTTGCGTCTAATTCATACACTACCCTACCATAAATCACCGGATTTTTGTCACGTGTTTGAAATAGATATGAAATTTTTGTATTTTCTAAGCGACATTGACAATTTTCAAACTTATCAAGCATCGATAAAAATTCTCCATGATAAACTACTGCTTTTATTGTTGCATACATAAAAATTACAGATGTTAAAAGCTAATACTTGGTGTTCCCACCTTTAGCCTTAATAACAGCTTCTATTCGATGTGGTAAGCTCATA